AGAAGCCCACAGCAGTGGAGGGCACAGTGGCATCCTGCCTCTGCTCACTCTATCTGCATCCCTGCTGTGGGGCGATGGAAACCAGGAGCTGCTTTTTTGGAAGGACATTTCCCCTGGAGCAAGAGCCGGCAGGGCCTGCAGTGTGCCCGTGCCTCAGTTTCCCCAGCCTGTTTCCGCCCGTGTGGCTGCAGTCCTAGCCCTGAGGGGCTGCGGAGGACACGAGATGGCAGCAGCGGGCTGTGTGTGCTGAGCGGAGCCGGGCACTGCCCGCGCCGTGTGTTCCCATGGCCACACAGCATCGCCGGCCCTCGGCCCCACTGAGCCCCGGCCACCGACCCGCTGCGGGCAGGGCTGTGGCCCGGGGGGCACTGAGCGCTGCAGGGAGTGGGGTACCCCCCAGGCCCTGGAGGAGGTGGGGGTCGGCTTTCCCTGGGGGTTTTTGGGGGTTCAAACTAGGGAGGGGGGAGTCGGGGAGGGGAAGGCAAGGGGTGCTCAGGGGTCTTGCCCACCCCCTGCCCTTGGGAATTGGGCTGGGAGGAGCTGGAAGGGCTTCGTGACCAGGGGTGGGTGGATGAGAGCCCTCCCTGCCCTGGGCACATCAGAGTCACTGGGCTGTAGCAGGGTGCAGGCAGGACCCGCTGGTTTGATGGGGCAGGACAGGGACCCTGGTTCGGGGGTCAGGGCAGGGGGTGCAGCCTGGGAATGCTGCTCTCCTGGGGTCCCTGGGAGATGCTGCCTGGCACGGAGCAGGCTGGCACCAGGGGCCATCCAGGGAGCCACAGCTCAGCAATCCCAATGCCAGAGGACGCCTGGAGCCATGCTTCTCCCCGGCTGGCCCCATCATGCCTGGGCTCCTTCCTCTCAGCTCCATCCTCCTCCTCGGGAGCCAGCACTGCCCTTTCTGCTGCCCCCACAGGAGGTTTTGCATTGCTTCAGTTCCTGGGTTTTTTTTCTTATTCCTCCTCCCTTATCCCAACCACCGTCCCTCCACAAACCACGAGCATCCCAAAATAGCCCTACTGACACTTGATATCCCATGGATGAGGCTGGGGGCCACGGCAGGACCTGATAGCTCAAGCACCAATGGGATCGGGACGGTGGCTTGGGACAGGGTGACTCCCAGCCTTTATCAAGGCTGGAGCAAAGTCCCCCCTTCAGTGACCTGTCAGCACCTTCCCAGATAAACCAGAGCAAAAACCACCTCCCTTTACTACCCTTCCCTCACGGGCAGCTGCTGCTGGGAACCTGGTGTGGCAGTGGGAATGAGTGCATGGAAAGGAAGGAAAGAGTGAAGGAAGGAGCAACAGGGAGGGAGGGGGAAAAACGAGGTCGTTGTGATGGTGGAATCACAGCAAAAACAGCCGGAAAAAGGAAACAGGCCCTGAAAAGTCAAATAAAAATAGCAGCGAGGCGAACCCAAGTGTGCAGCACATGGGAGTGAGCGCATTTCCTTCGAGGGCAGCACCGCGCGCTCCCGGCTGCTCCGGGGGGGTGCTCTGATGTGGCTCCAGCCACTGCCATGGCCCCCCCAGTCCCCCCGTGCTGTGCCAGGCACTTGGCAGCAGCTCAGGGCCCAGCCAGCCCCTGCCTTGCCCGGGGTCCCCTTGTGCCCTTGTGCAAGCCCTCCGTGCTGCAGCCGCCGGGATGCGGCAAGGGCTGCACACGGGTGTGGGAGCTGAGGGGACGCAGGGGTTGGGGGCTCCTGGCCGTGCCCACAGCCCCGCCCTGTGCCCTGCCTTGTGCCCTGTGCCCCCGGCTCGCTCTGCCAGATGCATCCGAGCGCTGTGCGAGCAGCACAATCTCGGCTTCCTCCCCTCCCCGCTGGTTTTGCAATCACAGCAGGGTCCCGCTGGGAGATGGGGGTTGGTGGAGTGGCTGCGGGGACAGGGATAGGGGCGAGGATGGGGGCTGGTGCTCCCTGCCAGGACCTGTGGGCTGAATCCCAGCCCAGCTCGGGGTAAGCTCAGAGGCAGCAGCAGAGCCCAGCGGGTGGGGCACTGTTCTGCGGGACAGTGATCAGAGTGGGGTACCGTGCCCGGGGCCTGTACACGGGTGCAATGCCCAGCTGCTGTGCTGTGGGCCCACACCAGGGTACCGTGCCCAGGAACTGTGCGTGGGGAGCTTTGCCGGGGTCCACACTGCGGGACAGGGACTGCTGTGGCTCCACAGAGACACATTTCAGCCTCCTCACCACCACTGTCCCACTGAAACACAGCTGTCCCCAAGCCATCACCATCTTGGGGTGCCAGCAGCCCCTTTTGGCTCTGGGGGACCCTTGCCCACATAAGCCCTCTGCTTCAATCCTCCTTCCCTCTGCAGCGGGGCTGGGGACCCAACCCCTGGCAGCCCTGGCACACGCAGGCTGTGTCCGACGGAGCAGAGCAGCGTTTTGTTCTCTCCCATCTCCCTGCAGCTTCGTGAAGCTGCTGAAAGCCCAGATTTACAGTGTGATAAACGCTGGAGGCTCTGCAAAATATCTGACTGCTCCATCCTTTGGAGAGCGACTGGTTTGGAGGAGCGGGGAGCTCTGGGCAGCACACCCAGAGGCAGAACAGCACAGCGGGTCTCAGGGAGGAGGGATGGCCGGGACTCATGGAGCCGTGCCATGACCCAGGTGGGTCCCAGCACCCCTGGCCAGGGGTCACCGGGTGCCTAAGCCCCCGTGGGCAGTGGGAAAGCGCCGACCTCCCCCATAATTTCTTGGGCCTCTCGCTGGTTGTTGGAGCATCTGCCGACCAGATTGTGCCGCGGCGTGCCGGGGTGCCCGTGCCAGGACATGCCAGCCGGGAGGCGGGGTGTGCCCAGGCCCGGCTCCGGGTGTGCTCCCCTCCCTGCGCCCTCATTGCTCGCTCCCCTACTGGGTGCCGCGGGCTGCTCAGCGGGAGCCTGCGTCCTCATCCTCGCCGGGAAGGGCTGGGAGATGCTGGAAAGCGGCTGCTCCGCTGTCTCCGACAGCAAGAGGTTCGCAGCCTCGGGGCTGTGCCTGCATGTGGGTGTGAGAGGGTGCTGGGGTGTGTGTGCACAGATGTGTGTGTGCATGTGTGTCCGTGTATCACATGTGAGTGTGTACACGTGTGTGTGTACACATGTGTGTGTGTACATGTGTGTGTGTACACGTGTGTGTGTACACGTGTGTGTACACGTGTGTGTACATGTGTGTGTACACGTGTGTGTGTACATTTGTGTGTGTACGTGTGCGTGTGTACATGTGTGTGTACCTGTGTGTCTGGGCACACGCCGGGGCTGTTGTGAGTGTGTGCAGGGCTATGCACACACGTGTGTGTGATTTCAGGTGTGTAAACGCCTGTGCACGTGGCTCCCCTCCACGGCTGCCTCCCGACAGGGTGTCTGAGCCCGCGGTGCCGCTGACCCCGTGTCCCTCCTCCCCGTGCCGGAGCTGCCGTCGGGACCGGCAGGCCTCGACGCGGGGCAGCCGCGGGCCTGGGCTGCCGGGCCCAGCAGGAGCGAGGGCTCTCCGGGAGGCTGGGTGCTGCCGATCGGCCCCGATGGGATCGCGGCTCCCCGGGCGGGTGCCGGTCCCGGCGGCTCTCGGCGCCCAGCGGGAGCCGGGCACTGCTGAGAGCCGGGCTGGTCCCCGCTCCGATGGCTCCTCGCTGTCATGGGGCACATCCACACCGAGCTGTCAAGAACATGAGGGGCTTCTGGGGCTCGTTTGGGGAAGGGGGAACCGAGCTGCCTCCCGCCCCCAAGGCCCCTGGCCCCACTGCTCAGCCCGCAGCATCCTGCGCCGGGGCCCATTGTTCGGCCGCGCCGGGCTGCGGGGCAGGATTTCTTTGTCAGAGCTCGGCAATATTTTATTCTAACAATTAACCAAACACGCCCGGCCCCCCAAGCCTGTTTGTGATTATTGGAGGGCGAATTCCCCAGCCTCTCTCCCTCTTGGTGTTGGCTCCGCCTGGGGCTGCACCGGGTGGAAGGGATCCAGCCCCTCTCCCATCCGCTCAGGGCTGGGGACCCCCAACCTCGCCGACAGCCCCCCACTCCTGCAGCCAGCGCTGGGGGGCTCGGTGACCCCCTCGGGAGCCCGCGAGCATGGCCCGCATTGTCTCGGCAGCAGCGGGATCCGGGGGGCGCAGGGGCAGCGGTGACTCTCGGCGGGGGGATGTGAATCACAGCCCTCGCTCTCCGGGCAGGATGCGGCCCCGCGCTCCCAGCTTGCCGCATGCCAGCCACGGACCGCAGGCTTTGTCCTCCGCAGGGTGGAAGCGGCTCGCTGCCCGTGGTGGGATGGGATGGGGCCACTGCTCTTCCTGGGATGCTGGCGCAGCTTTCCCAGCTCCAGCTTCAGGGTGGGATGAGGGTGCTGTGGGCTGCGGGTGCCTCCTGCATCCTGGCTCTCTCCGAGGCTCCTCGCCGTGCTTGGGCTGCATCCTCATTACTGCGCCAGTGGTAAAAAGAGTTGGCGCTTCCCTTCGAAAACTCTCCTGGAGGGTGAATTGCCCAGCTCAGGTTATCAGATCCCTGTAAAGTCCTTGCCTGGGGCCATCTCCCTGCTGCTGCAGTTCCACGTTCCCGACAGCGGATACTGAATTCCTTTCCTGTAGCTATGGCCTGAGCTAGCAGCCTCCTCCAGGTGCTGTCCGTGGGCAGGGGAATCTGGAGCTCAGGGTCGGGGTGAGCACTGAGGGTGATGCTGCTCGCTGGGAGTGAAGCAGCCGAAGCCAGTGCCCTGCAGAGTGGCATCTGTGTTTATTGGGGGCTATTAGCCATCCTGGGGGAGACACCCTGAGCAGGTTTCTCTGGCTGCTGCCGGGAGTGAACGGATGCTGGGAGCCACTGGGACACGGGAGGGGGGGCTGCAGCTGCAGGGTGGGAGGACAGAGAGGTGACCTGTGCTACGGTGCTGACCCAGCTGTGCCTGCATCCTCAACAGCTGGCTGCAGGCATGGGGCAGGAGTGAGAGCAGGCAGCATCTCCTGCCTGCTGACCCTGCCGGTAACATTCCCTGTCCCTCCCTGCTGCTGCACGCACGCCACTGCCTAAACCTGCTCCTTCAGAGCCAGGGCACCTTCCTCAGCGCTGCTATCCGGCCCCGGGCTCTCAGTCTGATCGTGGATCTTAAAATACAGCGAGTCATCGAAGCAGAGCCGTTCGGGCGGCCGGGCCAGGCAGGGCAGCCGCAGGGCAGCACCGGTGAGCAGCCCGGCGAGCAGCGGGGCACCGACGGCCACCGCCAGCCCCGCAGCCTGGCACAGCGCCTGCCCGCCCACCCCCCGGCCCCCCCACTGTCCCTCCACCACCCCGCTGGCATTGCCCCCAGTGGGGGACAGCTGAGAGGGCTGCGACCCGGAGGTGTCCTTGGGTGCCACCAGGACGGCCACGACGCTGGCTGCGGCGCCGAGGATGCCGGGCAAGCCGTGGAGGTTGTGGATGCCGCACTGGTCATGGACGGTGAGTTTCCTCGCCAGGAGCGGGGTGAGGAACCTGAAGCCGAGGACACACACCAGGGCTGAGAGGCTGCCCAGGGCAAGAGCGGCCACTGGTGGCATGGCCATGTCGGCCACCACGCCGATCGCCACCCCGCCGGCCAGGCTGCCGTTCTGCAGGTGGCCGGGGCTGAGCTTGCCGTCCCTCTTCAGCAGGCTGGAGGCCACCACGGTGGTTATGGCACCGGCACTCATGGCCAGGAGGGTGTTTAGGATGGCACGGTGCTGGGCATCGCCAGGTTGGCAGGGGACAGCCACGAAGCTGGGCCAGAAAACCCAGAGGATGAGTGTCCCCACCAGGGACATGAGGTCAGAGCTGGTTGTTGGGATCTCCTTGGGGTGCAGTGGCTGCTGTGTTGCCCTGAAGAGAGCCTTGGACACGCCAAGGCCAAAATAGCAGGAGAAGACGTGGATGGTGATGGTGCCGCCCACATCCAGAACGCCCAGACAGGTGACAATGACCCACTCGCTGGCAAGGTAGATGGGGATCTCACAGGTGGCCATGACGAGCAGCTGGCAGGGGCTGGCCCTCCCCAGGATGGCCCCCACGGAGATGAGCACTGTCACAGCAGCGAACACAGAGATGAGGAGTTTGTGGAGGTCCAGGTGGATCTGGCCATGGTGGAAGTGGTGGAGCAGGCCCTGCAGCACCAGTGCCCACTGCATGGAGAAGTTGAGCAGGAGGAAGTTGTGGGTGAGGGTGCTAAAGCCGTAGCGGGGCAGGAAGGTCAGCAGGAGTCCCAGCCCCACCACCAGCATCACCTGGATGTCCTGGAAGAAGGGGAAGGTGCTGTAGACCTTGTTGGCCACCAAGTTGGTATCCTCCCCTTGCGCCGAGGGCTCATCATAGGTGACGAAGAGGGCAAAGAAGAGGAGCAGGGCGCCTTGGAAAAGCCCCAGGAAGAGGGGCAGGAGGCGACGGGGATAGGTGGAGGGTGGCACAGCCATCCTGGAGTGGACAGGAGGGGATGGTGGTCAGTGGTCAGCAGGGCACTGGTGTGAGGTGACAGCCCAGCAGCGCTTCTGGGGTGAGCTCTGCTTGTTCCTACATCAGGGGTTTTATGGCCACGGTTAATTATTAACCAAAGAGCTAAGTTTATGTTCCAGAAGAGGAGGGGTTTGCCCCTCCCTTCTTTAAACACAACACTCATAAAGTAACCACATGTTCTTGTTTGGCCGCCATAAAAGTGGACATGAGGGGCATTATGATTTCGAAGGGAAACAAGAAAAACCTGTGGTGGGGCAGATGAGGGAGAAGGAGTTTGGTGAGGAGCTGGCCAGGAATGGGGGTACCACGGCACTCATCCCCATTTAACTTATCCCCATCCAGGAATGGGGACCTCCCTGCTGCAGCCCTGGAGTGCTGCTGGCGGCTCAGACAGTGCCAGCTCCCGCTCTGGCTCTGCCACGTTCCGCTCCAGGTTGGCTCTGGCACTGCCACCACCCCATTCTGTGGGATGATGCACGTTTTCCTTATCCACCACTTGGATTTTGCAAAACGCCATAAAGCTCCAAAGCCAGGGCTGCAAAGATCGTTTTCTCACAGGTTTGCATTGGCTTAAATGGCTGGATATTCATTAACAATTAGCGCGCGAGAAAAACAAAGCCCAGAGCAGCCAAGCAGCTACCCCGAAGTTTCTGGGTTGCTGCTTAGTGTGACATTTTGCCAGTGAATGTTTGGAAAAAAAGAAATTAAAAAAAAATATATGAGAACCACAAGAACAAAAGGCAGAAGGGTTGGTAAATATTTGTTCCAGAGAGGAGATATTTTTGTGCTGTCCCTGATCTCAACACCCCTGCCGCGGGCGCTGGCTCCGCGCCGCTCTTCGTCATTGTTACTGGAGGATGAGGCAGGCGAGGGCGCAAAATGGGAAACAATTGTTGAATAATCTGCACGAGGCTCCTCTGCCAAACCCTCCCCGGCCATTTTTCAACCCAAAGATGCTGGAAATGGGGGCAACAGAGAGGAGGAGGTGGTGCTTTGAAGGCAGTGCCTTTGATGGGTGAGATGGGGCTGCGTTGCACCTGAGCCACGGCCAACAGCAACAGAGGGGTGGTGGGAGCAGTGGGGGTTTTGGGATGGGAGTTGGGATGTTTTGTCTGCCCCTAACATGTCCCTGCTGCATGGCTGTGGTGCTAACAGCAGTGGATACTCCCGTGGGGATCCTTCACCCAAGGAAATGTGGGGCTGGGGTCTTCATGATGCCATTCAGATCTTTGCTGTCCCTGAGGTGGCTGGGGATGGGATGGGATGGGATGGGATGGGATGGGATGGGATGGGATGGGATGGGATGGGATGGGGTGAGTAGGCAGGATGCTCCCATTGCTCCTGCCTCTGCCTGCACAGGGGCACAGCCTGAGCCACCTCCTGTGGCTGCTGCCAGCTCCACCAGGCAGGGGCATGAAGGACAAAGGGTGCAGGCAAAGCCTCCCCTGGTTGCTGGTATAAAAATGGTAAAGAAAGGAGATTTTAGCCCCCAGTGCCTCACCTGTGACCCTTTGCACATCACACCAGCCCATCAAGGGGATTCCCAAGGAGCCAACCTGGTACAGTGAAACCCCTTTGGCTGACTGTGGGTGAGATACAAAGATCTGTGGGAGAGATGCTTGAGGCAGGTTGTGCTCCTGTGATGGAGAGCTGGGCTGCTCTTACAGAGCTGAGGAAACATTTTGGCTCTGGGTCAGCAAGGATTGGGCTGCTCTCAGGGTGGCTAGAGGGGGGTGCTGCCTGCTTGCTCCTCTCCAGCTCCCCACAGCATCTCAGCCTTCCGATTCCTGCTTTGATATGCAGATTTTTAAAGGCGTGGTTAAATCAAATGCTAAAAGGAAAAGCTATGGATCAGGTCTTGTAAGAAACACAGTGCTTGGAAGACTTCAAGGTTATGGCTCAGTGCCTCCTGCAAGGAGGAGGAGGAAGATGCCAGAGGGATGCATCTTTCTGGAGCATCCCAGCACTACCAGATCTGCTGGAGAGGACAAAGAGCACATTGGGAAACTTGGGATGTAAATGCTCTCCTGGATCTGGCCATCATCTCTGGCAAGGGGCAGAGGCTCAGGGCACCAGGAGGTTGGGCTCCCTCGCTGGACTCTGCCAGGTCAGGAGATGCTGGGGACACAGGGGGAAGCTCCTGTGCAGAGCTGGACTCAGGGCTTGGGGAGTACTTGAGGGGGTGACACGGCTCACTCAGTGGCAATAGGGAATTGCAGGGTGTGCAGGATGTCCTTGACACACAGTCTTTTTCCACTTGGAAATCTTGCTCTGGCAGCACTTGGGGATTTGGGATGTGTCTCTGGGCTTTTGGGATTCCCTGTGACCCACAGCACCTCACATCCCTACCAGCAGCACCCTCAGCTTTGCCACATCCACAGGGCCAACAAACAGCATATTCTTTTGATGAGCTGTTGGGTACCACAATCCCCATCCCTTGGGAAAAGGCCATCCTGTGAGCCTTTCAACGCCCCAAACCATATGAGGCACAAAAAGCAGTGATGCCCAAGTTCTCCCCGGACCAAAGACCCCGCAGCATGAGAGGGGGAAAACCCTGCTAGGTTGCAGATTAAAAAATAACCTTTATGGCACCCATAAAAGAAGGTCAGAATTCCAAGAGGTCGCTGGGAAGGTGAAAGTCCCCCCAAGCTCTGGAGCACCCCTGAAGGCAGCGAATGATTAACCCCACGGTGCAGGGTGCACCACTGGGATGCCACGGTCCCTGTGGGGAGAAGGTCCAATCCCTCCAGTGACATTTCCAGGCACACTGAGTTTTCTCTTGGCACCAAAGGACAAGGGATGGAGGAAGCATCTGGCGAGGGCCTGGGCAGCAGGGAGGGAGGGGAGCATTGAATTCCACCCCCCACATCCCCCTTTCACTGGGGGGGGCAGTTGTTGTATGGCAGGAGGACTGGGGAACCATTTTAGCAGGATCCACGCTGGGACTGCTGGAGGAGTTCCCCGCTGAGGGCTGGATACAAAGAAAAGCTGAATTAACCGAGGGTCATATAAGGCAACAGGATCTGACAGATCCGAGCCAATATATGCTGGCAGCAGCCAGTCCATGGCACTGTGAGAAACACTCCTGCAAATTTAACAAATCCCCATGGTCTAGAAAGTCATGTACAAGAAATTACTAATGAAGGGATCTAGTCATATCTGGATTTCCAGACGTTGGTCATGCTCCCACCGCGTTCTGCAGGCCATATAAGTACATGGATCTGAATCCCGGGTGCTGGAGAGCGGGAGGATTGTTACGATCGTCCTGCCTGACCTCCTGCGTCAGACGAGGGCTCCCGGCGAGGAGGGGATGCCGGGCGGTGGCGGCCGGATCCTGCGGCTGTGCCGGGCTGGGGATGGATGCAGAGAGAAGCCTGAAGGGGAGCAAGGCTTGGGAATGCTGCTGTGGCAGTGGAGGGGCTGCGTGCTCCCATCACCCGGTGGTGATGCGCTGGCACACAGATGGGTGCTGGGCAGGAGGGAGCAGGAGCTGCAAACTCATCCCTGCAGGGCAGCACCGTGTGATGGGAAGGAACTGCTGACAGCACCCCTGACCTGGGCATCACTCTTTAACCCCAGCTCCCTCCAGCCTGGAGCACCCCAAAATTCCCCGTTCCCTAAAGACCCTGCCAGAATCCGGGCCAGAATCCGGGCTACCTGCGCAGCTCCGACTCTGCTCCATCGCCTCCTGCTGCCTTAACGAGCCGGGAGTGATCACCGGCGATGCTTTCGGAGCTCCGGACCAGCTGTGACCCCCGAGCCCCGGTGCCGGCTGTCAGGCGGCGGGCAGGGGGCCAGTCCCCTCCTCCCCAGCCCCTCGCAGCCGGGTCCTGCCGGGTGGGGGGACACAAAGCCCAACAGACGTCACCCCGGCATCACGCGGACCGAGTGGCCTTCTCCATCTTGTTAGCACATTGTGTAACACAACATGTGGAGGCGCTGGGACCGCACACGCATGCACTCCCCGACAGCCCAACCGGGGGGAAAAGAGGGAGGGGAAAAAGAAAAAAAAAAAAAAGGAAGCAATTTAAGCTTTGAATCTTTCTCTTTAAAATGTTCTCATGGCTTCATTAGAATTTGCAGCCACAGAGGCTTTGAAGAACATGGTATAAGGAGTGAAACATCTGGAAAAATTAGGATTAATGAAAACATAATTCCCAAGACTAAAGGAAAGATTAATCCTGCGTTACCACTTGTGTGTTCCACAGCTTTTCCCCAGCTCGTAACACTGAACTTATTAAATCGCCCTGAGCTGAGTTTTCCTTTTCTCTCTCCCTCCCCTATGGAGCCCAATGGAAGCAGCTGATGCCAAATGTAAGGATAACCAACTGTGCTGGCCAGCGCTGCTGCGAGCACACCCAGCCCCGTGCCCAGGTGGGCACCCCCTGCCCAGCACACCTCGGGGGGGTCCCTGGGTGCTGGTGGGGGCCCAGCGGGTTTTAGGGTGCTCTGCTCTGGGCTGGTGGGTGCTGCACCCCACTGGGGCTGCACCTGCTCCTGCCTGGGGCACCGAGCAGGGTGGGCACTGAGCAGCTTGTGGGATGCTGGGGAATTAAAGAGAAATGAATGAGCCCCCTCTCTGCTGCTGGGTGCTTGGCCAGGGTGGGACTGAAGTGGCTCTGAGGTGCTGGTGTCTCTGGGTGGCATTTCTGTGAGAGCAAGGGCAGCCCTGGTGATGTGCCACACTGTGCCATGCTGTGCTCTGCTGTGCTGTGCCGTGCTGTGTCACACTGTGCTGTGCTGTGCCACACTGTGCCATGCAGTGCTGTGCTGTGCCACACTGTGCCATGATGTGCCACACTGTGCCACGCTGTGCCACGCTGTGTCACACTGTGCTGTGCTGTGCCACACCGTGCCATGCTGTGCCATGCTGTGTCACATTGTGTCATGCTGTGCCACGCTGTGCCATGCTGTGCTGTGCTGTGTCATGCTGTGTCACACTGTGCTGTGCTGTGCCACACTGTGCCATGTTGTGTCACACTGTGCCATGCTGTGTCACACTGTGCTGTGCTGTGCCACACCGTGCCATGCTGTGCCATGCTGTGTCACACTGTGCCATGCTGTGTCACATTGTTTCATGCTGTGCCACGCTGTGCCATGCTTGCCATGCTGTGCCATGCCACTCCATACTGTGGTGTGTCATGGCAAGCATGTGCTGTGTTGTGCCATAGAAGGCTGTGCCACACCATTCCATGCTGTGCCATGCTGTGCCATGCCATGCTCTAGCACCACCCCTGCTCCAGGATCCGGGCTGTCACCAGGGGGTTGGGACACGCCAGCCCCGTGCCAGCTGGCAGTGTCCAGCTTTGCCACTGCGGTGCTGGAGGGTACTGGGGGGTCACATTGGCTGTGCCAGCCCCTGTTCAAGCCCCCTGGACAGAGCTGGCCTGAGGTCTTGGGCAGCTCAGAGTGGAGCTCAGTCACACTGAGGGACCCTCTGGGGAAGGTGCTCTGGGGTGACAGACCCCTTGTCCCTGTAAAATCCTGCAGCAATTCCTTTGCCACCAGCAAGTACCACTGGTGGGTGCCAGCGCTGGTTTGGGGTCACATCAGAGGTTTGTCCCTGCAGCTTTATCACCACAGGCTCTGACCTGCACAAACGGGTGGGGCCGGGTCCCTCCCCACAGTGAGGGGCTCTGGGATCGTGGTGCTTCGTGGGAAGAAGGAAAACAAGGAGAGTTCACTCCGCTATGTCTTCATCCTCCTCTCCCTTGGCATGGCGAGGCCGGGCACTGCCAGCTCCACACCTGGGATCAGCCGAGCTCCCACAGCGACCCCGGCAGCTGGAGCCTGCAAGAATCGGGATGCTCCGAAGGATGGGGACAGAGAGCAGCACCCGTTCTGCGAGTCTCTGCCGGGGTTTGGGTGGGCTCTTGCCTGCTGGCTGCTCCCCACGATCTCAGGGTGAGGGAACCAGATGTTTTCTGCATCCCCTCCTTCTGCCCCGGATTATGCCAGGACTGCATCTGGACGGGGCCAAAGGTGTGTTTGACCCACGCACGGGAGAACGGTGCTCCTTTGCCCCAGGCCTGGTGGAAAAAGGCTGCTTTGCCCCACACACGGAGTGAAGGAGGAGGCAGCGTGCCCAGGCCACTCCCCAAGAAGGGGAAGCTCCCTAGGGGCTCAAGGGGATCCCTCTCTCCCTCCTTCCCACGCTGCTGTCCCGCTCAGCTCCAGCTTGTTTTCCAGAGAGGAAACCGGCAACCTTGCTATTATTTTTTTTTTTCTGATTTTTTTTTTTCCTATTTTCCTTTTTCTCGCAGTGTGAGCGGCGGGGCCCAGCTGGGGGGCAGCGGTGCCGGGTGCCGGCGGGCGCCAGGTGCCGGCGGGGCGGCGCGGGAGGTGCCCGCCGGCCGCGGGGGGACAAAGCCGGCGACAGCCCGCGGTGCTCGGGGCCGTATTGTGTGAGCGAGGAGGAGATGGATGAAGGTCACATCCTGCCACTCTTCCGATGCCCGGCACCAGGAAAAAGCTGCGCTTTGTAAATATAAAAATAAACAACAAACTCTTCCCCCCATTTACCACCTTCCCCCCTCCCCAAAGAAAACAACAACAGCCCCCGCGGTATCGCAGCCACCTGCTCGGGGAAGTGATTTTTCATATAGGCAGGAAATGGGGGTCTAATTAAATCTGGGGTCAAGAACATAAAGAGAGGACGAAGTTTATTTAGGAGTCCTCGAGGAGGGCGGGAGGGGGATGCTCAGCAGAGCTGTGGGGGAACCATAGGACGGTGTTTTGGTGGGGCCAGGGGGGAACCTGTGGGTGTTTTGGCCCCGGGGTGAGTGGCAGGGCATCACCTTCCTCCTGCCAGAGGGTCCAGCGTGCCACAGGGGACAGCGGTGGCAGTTCGGTCCTCACCAGGGCAGGGATGCTCTGGGGGACTCCCCAGTCTCCCTATCCCCCTGCGGGCAGAGAAAGGAGCCCGGGGAGCGTCACGCTCAGACCTACAAGAGCGTCCCCAAGCCTTCAGCGAGATCATATGAGGTTCCTGTTTCACAAGACGGAGGATGGCATTTCCATTGTGCTCGCCGGGGATGTGTTGCAACGGGGCAGCCGCTTCCATCCTTTGTCCTCCTCCCCGCAGAGGAGGAGTCTCAGCCTCTGCCAGGGTGACCCGTCACACCCTGCCCCCCCCCTCCCCCAGCCACCAAATTTGGCTCCACTGGCCGCGGCAGCCCTCCCCGGCGGGTCCCGTCCGCAGGCATCGCCCCACCGCCAGCGCTCTCCGGCTCCAAAGGCGCCTCCTTCAGCCGCCGCGCTGGGTGCCCTCGGCCGGGGTCCCCTGCAGGTTGGGGACACTCCAGGAAGGTGACACCCACCTCGAGCCGCTCCCAGCGCTGACCCTGGGGTGCTCCCACTGCCTTCCCCTGCCCGCTGCATGGGCTCCTGTTTAATTTTCACTACCAATTAATAAAGGAAGGATTGACCCCACCAAAGCCCAACTGGGGAGCCCTGGGTGCTGGCAGCAGCCCCAGCTCCCCGGGGTGATGCCACCACCCCGGTCCCTCTCCCATGCCCGCAGCGGGCAGCTTCCAGCTTTTAGGAAGCACTGCAGAGACCTTTGCCTTTGGGTCGGGTGCTCCCAGCCCGGACCCGCTTTCTATTCCCCAGCTGGGGTGTGCCGAATATAAAGTATCACAGCATTGTTAGGAAAAATAATTCAAACCCACCAAAAAGGCCAGCAGCAGATGGAAGGGTGAAATCGGAGCAATTTGGGCTGGCTGTAACCCTTCGTGGGCAGGGAAGGCAGCGTAGGCAGGGGACCAGCATCCCCATCCCAAGCCCTGCCGCTGGAGCTTGCGGGTGTGGAAGGGAAGGTGATGGGCTGAAAGTGTCCCAGTGCAGACTGTGGGCAGGACAGGGAATGGTTTCCCATGGGAAAGGGGGAGCTCGTGCCTGGGGGCTCATAAAACAGGCGGAATTTTAGACAGGCTTTAGGGATGCTGGGGAGTGCCTTCATCCCCGAATTCCTGCAGAAGGATGGGACATCCGATCTGGGCACCACTCAGCCCGCGGGCTGCCCATCCCCACACTGCAGCGGGGCCTCAGGGCCCTTCTGTGACCACCGATGGGACGCAGGTGCCACCCACCACACTGGATGCGTGTCCCCTCCCTGTCACCAGCATCCCGCCGCCGAGCCGGGCACCAGGGGTGGCGCTGGGGACGAGGACGCGTCCCCAGCCGCGGGCCTCGCTCCAGCTGGGCGCTGTTTTGTAAGGACTCCTGGGCCTCTGCGGCGCAGAGATAAGCCCAAGAATTCGCCGTCAGTTCCAAATATCCCGTCCGCTTCCTCCCGCCGTCCTCGCCGCCGCTCCAGCCCGCTTGTCTCATTTCCGCAGCAGCGTGCTGGGGAGCGCTTCCTGTTTTCCCCCCGGCCCCGGGGCGGCGGCGGGGGGCGAGGGGCGCGGGGAGGAAGGGCAGGACAATGGGCGCAGGTCGGGACGGGCAGCTGCCCATCGCCCGGGATGGGGGTTCCTCGGTGGCCCGGCAGGGGGAAGGCGGATGGCAGGTGGCAGCAGCGGGGACGTGGGTCCTGGGCTGAGCTGAGATTGCGGATGGGGTTTCTTTCCTTTCCTTTCCTTTCCTTTCCTGATTTTTTTTTTTTTCTTGTTTTCAAGGGCTTTGCTGTAAATCAACCCAAGCTCCCTAGAGAGCATTGTCGCTGTACCGCAGTGGGAACCCTGCTTCAGCTGGGCGTGAGGACAGGAATGAAGCCGGGTGGAGCACAGCCCTGGGTGGGGGCACCCTGCCCTCCATGGGGCAATGAATTGCTCCCCCAAAAATCGCATTTTAGGGTCCCTGCAGTCAAACCACCAACCACAACCCTCTCCTCCCCAGCCACAGCAGGGGAGAGCAGCATCCCCACAGGACTGCCACCTCCCAGGAGCTGTGTCATGGGGCAGGAGGTTAGGATGTGGCTGCCCCTTCCCAAACTGCTGCTTTGAGACAAGAGAGATCCATTTCGGAGCTCTGCTCACTCGGAGCCCAGCAACCTCCTGCTGCAGGCAGGACCAGCCAGTGGGCAGCCCTGTGTCCCCCTGTTTTCAGGGCTCCTGCCCCGCTCCTGGGCTGAGTGTGAGTGTTTACTCGGTGCCTTTCTCACCGCTCACAGCGTGGCAGGAGTTATTCAAAGGCAGGCGGAAGCGAGCGCAGCAACTGAAACAACAATGAAAAGGAAACAGAGCTCGAAAAATTCTCCGTTCATAAATCAACTGAACTGCAGGTGATCCCTGGGCAGGAGCGAGCTGAGGAAGAGACACAGCTCAGCTCGGCATGGCCAGCAGCCAGGCAGGCTCCGACCCCCCAGGCAGGGATGGGGGAGGCCGGGATTTCCCAGGGTGGTCCTGAGTGGTGCTGGGGTTGCTGTCCGTGTCCCCGGGGCTGCTCATCAGGGACTTTGAGGCAGGTGAGGTGCAAGCATTTCTGGATTTATTTTTATTACAAATTTTTATTATACATCTGGGTGAGAAAGGTGAAGCTGTGCTGGGTGGAGTGGGTTTGTGGGGTCAACATTGCACACACAGGCACACGCCTCCTTTCCAGGCCAGAGGAATGCAAAAAGCCCAGGGATGTGATGGAGTGCAGGGACCGTGCTACGGCCCCTGGTGGCCAGCAGAGCGAGGGGATACGGTAATTTTAGTGTTTGAGGGGTTGCAGTGCAGCTCCATGCTCTTTATTCATCTCCATTACTGCCTTTTTGGGTTGAAATTCATCACTTTGAAAGCAGAGAGCCAAAAAGGTGTGGGTGAGCATGGCTCCAGTCTGTGGCTGTGCCATGGGAGATGTTGGGGTTAACAGGAGATGATCCAGGGCTCTCAGCAGCATCAGGCCATGGCTCCTTGCTGGGATCTCATAAAAGCTTTTTCCTCCTTAGGAAATAGAGCTGCTGGATTGGGACGAGCTCCTCAGTGCTGGCAGCATCTCTGCACGGGCAGGGGATGGGCATGGTTGGAAAAAATCTCCCCCTCCTGCCTCCAGTTGTGTCCTGCAGCATCTTGCTGTAGGCAGGATAGGGGCCAGTTTGGACAAACCTAGCTGTCACCTCTGCCAGCGCCTGTAAGCTGAGACCCAGTCCTGGGGACACCAAAAGGAACTTGTGCTTTTGGGACCAGTGGATGGCCCCAAGGACCAGGCTGGTGACAGTGGGCTGACCTTACAGCAGAGGAAATGACCCAGTTGTGTTCCCCACAGTGGAAAAGCCAGGAGAAATTGCATGTCCCCCTCTGCTGCTATCTGTTCTCTCTCCTGTGAATTCACTGTCATCTTGTCTTTTGGCAGAGCTGGAAAACTGGGAGACCACCGTAAATAAATCCTGTGTCTTTAAGCCGTTTTGTACAGTACAAGAAAATGCACTCGTTGAATTACAGCTTTTTAATCAAATACATGTAACCATGTCACTTAAAGTGCTCGCGAAAAGCAAGGGGAAAAAAAAAAAACCCAACACAATTGGAAGAGCACGATATTAAAACCAGCTGCCTGCTTACCCCCACCACAGTTAATAGTTTTTGAATGTTCTGAATGAGAGAGAAACCAGAGCCAAGCTCCACTTTCATGTCCATCTTTCTGATCAAGCCCTGCCAGACGGGGGGAGCCGGGCAGCCTGGCACAGGGGCGCGGGATGCGGGAGGGCTGCACTCCCTTGTCCTGCTGCTTTGCCCATCCCTTCGGGCTTTCTAGCTGTGGTGATGGGATGTGGGAGCCCACGGTCTTCCTGCAGGCAAAGCAGCTCTGCCTGGCTGGGACCCAGCCTGGAGATGGGAGCACAGGTTGCCCAAGCCATGCAGAGGTGAGGGATGCTGCTCTGGGACGTCTCCACCATGTTGTGTGTCCCCTCCTGACCAAATTTAACCCAATTCTACCTCTTGATACTTCTTCCTGCAAGCTGGCATCACTGCTTGTCCCCCCGAGGCACTGTGCTACCCACAGCATCCCCTCCTCCAAGCACGCCAGTGCAGTCCGTGGTGTCACATCCCCGTGCCCCATTCCCTTGGGACACACATGCCAGGACCTCCTCAATGCCTGCCTCCGGCCTCGCTGGCCACCGACCCCCCGCCCGGCACAGCCTGCCAACCACCCGAGCTGTGCAGTTCCCCCGCAACGTGGACCAATGCTCATTAAGCATGAGGCAGAGACCACCAAATATGTCAAAACACACTTAAAATTTATTGTTTCATACCATACGTTTGAGTCTCTTGAACGCCGGCCAGTGTTTCTCCCTCTCCGCGATGGGGCCTATCTGCTGTCACCGACGCTTTGCGTATATGTGTAGCTCGCTTGCTTGCTGGCTTTTCTTTCCCTCCCCCTTCTTTCTTTAAATGCAAAATACAAACAATTGATGGAAAATGTACATTTGTTCCATATGGGACGGTCGGAGCGTGGAGAGGAGCCAGCAGAGGCATTTTTAGGCAGACTCCTCTCTCCAGCGGATGGCTGGATGGCTTCCCAGAACGGCCCCGCGCGGCCTGGCCTGACTCTCCTGACGAGCTTCAGACGCTCTGTGACGCTCCCACGATGGTGGGGGGGACATGATTCAGTTCCCTGAAGGGATCAACCTCTCTGGGCTGCCGAGCATAGGAGGAGGGAGAGGCTCCCACCAAAACTGCTGCAACATCCCGGAATGGTTGAGCTCGGCTGAGCGGGAGGCGATGGGGAGACTTGATTTAGAACTTGCGTAGGAAGTTGAGTTAGGATGATTGGGTTGTGTTGGGTTAGGCAGGCTCAGTTGGGTTGTGTTGGGTTATGTTGGGATAGGTTGATTGGGTCCTTGGGATAGGTTACATTGGGTGGATGGATGGGTTAGTTTGGTTGGGTAGAGTTGGGTTGGTTTCTTTGGGGTTGGATTGGTTTGGTTGGGTTATGGTGGCTTGTGCTGGCCTGGGTTGGTTTGGCTGCATTGCATTGGGTGGGTTGGGTGGGTTGGGTTAGGTCGTGCTGTGTGGGTTCTGTTATGTTGGATTGGATTGGCCTAGGTGACCTCTGGAGAACACTCCCAAACTTTCCATGACCCTTTGGCTTCCCAGAACCTCACAGCATTGCTGAATCACCTCAGAAGAGAAGCACAAAGTGGTTCTGACAGATGCTGTGGAGCTCAATTGGCTCAGAGCCAGTGAGGAGAAGAAGCCCCCCGAAGTCCCTCATGGTTCACACAACGAGGCCAAACCCACCTCCTTCACAGGGACCTGTCCTCCTCACGGGGCCCCAGCACGGTGCTGGGTGAGCAGGAGTTGGTGTGGGGCTGGGGACTGAGGGTCCAGGGGCTTGTGGTGGCCCTAAGGCAGGGAAAGGAATGTGAGGGCTGGTGGGGGCAACACTGGGAGCTGGGGGGAGGACAACCAAAGCTCCACAAGGGATGTAGAGGCTGAACTTCACATCAATAAAAGTGCTGAAGTGTTTCAGGCTGCACAGATTTCCCAGGTCACATTAAAGAATCCTTGCTGGCTTCTTTCTTTTTCTTTTGCAAAACCTGTAATATTTATGACATCCCAACTCCTGTTACCTGCAGGCGGCTGCCCTCCCCTGCCTGCAGAGAATTCCTGCTGCTGGAAGCAGAGCTGGGGCGGGCACCCAGCCTCACCCAAGTGTTCCTGCTGCCAGGCAGCTCTGGGCATGGTGCAGAGGAAACGGGGCCTTTCCTGTCTGCAAGGAGCACTGAGATTTCCAAACATTTCCTTTCCCAAACTGAGCTGCAAAGAAGAAAGTTGGGGAAGGCTTGGGAGCTTTGATTCTGCTCGACCAAGAAAGGTTGTTCTGAGAACATTTGAAACCTTTCTTTGCATTTCAACCTTTTCCCTTTGGTTAACCTCCCACCACAGAATGCTGTTACCTCTCCAAAGGTTTTGCCTCCCATCAAAAAAAATCTGGAAACTTTTTTTTTTTTTCCAATGCACTTTTTCTCGAGTCAGGAAATGTTTTGGAGCTGTTTCCCACAAACAGGTTTGGTTTTGATAAATCTTTTTTTTTTTTTTTTTTCTGGAAGAGGGGGAGATATAAGTCCCATCACTTGGTCTAGAGCAGCTGCCTGGTGCCACAGTGAGGAACCAGCATCGGCATCTTGTTCCTTTTCCCAGAGATGCCCCCATGCTGAACACGCAAAATACAGGGATGAAGAGGCTCTAATTCCCTGTTCATCCCAGCCAGGATGACTTCATCAAGGCTGTTGTGTCAGTGTTCTCACCCAACGGTGAGCCCTGGGCTGGGATGGCTGGGGCTGCCCTGTGCATCCCATTTGCCCCTGGCTATGCCACAGCCTCAGCCTTGGGAACAGCGAGCTTGGAGCCGAACGCTGCCGGGCTGGGCTGGCTGGCACATGAGGTTTTAATATTTGGGTGGGTGATGTCATCGAGCGCTCCGTAACGCTGTAAAAAATCCAGAACGTCTATAAAGCTGATCTGTGAACCTCCAGCAGAACACACACACACACACACACACACACACACTGGTGTGTGCACATGGACACATGGACACGGGCCCATGGAGGGAGGAATACATGGAGATGCACACACAGATGCATACACACCCATGGATGCACCTACATGTAAGCACAGACATATCCACGGAGAGATGCACGCATGGATACACGTGGAGGAACTCATGGATGCATGTGCAGGCTCAGACACACAAAGGGACAACAAAAAAGATGCAGAAAAAGGAGCAGCACACACATGCAGAGGTGCTCACACATGCACACACACACACAACCCAGACACAGGCACACGGATATCCAGGGATGTTCACACACACACATGCCTGCACACGTGTATAATGCACACAGGGATGGATGGATGTGAGCATGGGTGCATGCAGTGGTGCAGGAACACACAGGTGCTTGCACACCCATCCACATCCATGCACACCAATGCTTGCACACGTGCAGGTTTGCACACGGATGCGTTGGGGTGCACGCACAGTTGCACGCGGGTAGAATCCACTGCCCCTCACCCCCAGGGGACACGGAGCAGATGCCACCTGCCCATAAAGCCCAGGTAGGACCTGGCATCGCCTCCCCCTCTCCCTGCATCCTGGGAAAGCCGGCGGGATGGGCTGTCAGGTTTTCCATTTACCTGTCAAGTACCTTCTCCATATTTCTGCCGTAACGACCTGCTAAAAGCCCCTCACTCCTCCTCCCCAGCCCAAAACCATCCGGCCTTGAGCTTTGGAGAGATTAAGTCATAAAAATCGGAAGGGGCTGTGCAGTAACAGCCCCAGCCTGAGCCATAACGGCAGTGAAATCATCCTCAAACTATGTCAGCTCCAGCCATTTCCAGTCCCACGTCACACCTGAGCCATTGGCATGCAGTGAAAGAAAACACTGGGGGATGGTTTCCTGGCTCCAGAGCAGCTATACAGGGACAGGGACAGGGGAAAGATAAAAATAATACGTATGTCAAAAATATATAAAAGTAACATACAAAAGAATATTGAAAATATATTAAAATATTAAATATACAAAAATATAAAATAAATTCTAGTGTGTAAAATAATACAGATAAACATAGAACTAATATATAATATATGAAACAAGATAGAAAATTATAAAAATAATATGTAAAATAAGTGGTGTGGTTAAAACCCATCAAGGTTCCATCACCCTTCCCAAGGACCCAGCACCTCTCCCAGGTTCAGCTGAGCCCTCTGTCCTCCTGATGGAGCCGGATCAGCCGCTGTGCCACCAGTCTCACCAAACCCTGGATTTGGAGGGGGACAAATCCTATCCTGGCCATGGTTAAACCATGAGGCTGCAGCAGCGACTGTGGAGAGGTGGAGGGCTTTTTTTCCTCTCTCCTTTCCCTTCTCTTTTGTTTCCCTGTGACCTGGGGTAGGGCTGGCCAGAGAGGTGGGGCTTTCACAGTGGCTGTGGCCTCAACGTGGTGTATCCTTGGTGCAGTTATGGACGGGAATGACCATCCATTGCAGCTTTCAGTACCTGCTGTAGCCCCACAGCAGCATCCTGGGGCATGAATCACAGCCTGGTTTTGGTTGGAAAGAACCTTAAGGGTCATCAAGTTCCAGCCCTCTGCCATGAACAGGGACACCTTCCACTAGACCAGGTAACTCCAAGCCCAGTCCAGCCTGGTCTTGGACACTTCCAGGAATGGGGCATCCGTAGCTCCTCCAGGAGCCTGTGCCAGTGCATCACCACCCTCGTTCTAACGACCTCTCATATCTAATCTAAATTGACCCTCCTTCAATTGAAAAACCATGGTGAGCTGGCACAGCCTGAACCACAGGGCAAGAAGTGAATTTCTGCTGCAGAAAAGTGACTTCACATTTGCTCCACGATGTGATGGACAGCGGCTCTCCCCGGCACGGCAGAGCAGCTGGGCG